AGAAGCTGACCTTTTCAGTATTCCTGTCACATCAAGAGAAGCAAAATATGATTTGCCTGGGAATTTCCTGCAGATAGAATTGTTTTTATATATAGTATTTTTTTTTCTCCCTCAAATAACCACACATTAAATGTTAGTTTTGCCAACCTCTACCCCCGTACATTATTTTGCACAACTCTCTACCCCCGTACATTATTTTCAAGCACTTAACACATTGTGGCCTTCATAATCTGATTACCTGGAAACTTAAGATAGATACTGATTTTTATAGTGCTTGAAATTTAAAACAATGATATTTACCAGTAGATCAAAAGTTATAGATAAAATAAAAATGGTGAACTTTAATGTTTAACATGTCCTACCTGATAAAATAGTATTGTCATTGTCATGAATTTGAGATAATGACATGCCATGTTGAAATGAATTAGTATGGATCCATGAAGAACTATAAATTAGTAAATGATCTTTGCTTTAACCTAGGAGTTCAAGATGTGTCTATTTTGTCATTTTCATAAATCTTAAAATGAAGCATAATTATGATGAAAAGTAATATTTTCAGACAAATTTTATACCCAGAGGAAGCGATTAAAATAACAACGAAGGAAAAGAAACAAAGCAACATGATTCACCTGTAAGAGCAAGTGACTGAGGCTGAAAATAATTTCTGGACATGCTGTGAGCCGTGTGGTGTTTGTACGGGTGCACAGTGCCAGAAGTGTTTTAAATAATTTCATCATTTCTTTGTAGATACATTATTTTATTTGGGTACTGTATGTTTGAGTGTATTGTTTACATGGGTTATTTTGGGAAACAGAGTAATCTAAGACACAAATGGCTTTTGCCTTAGTTTTTCCATTCCAGCGAGTGGTTTCAGCACTCTCCCTTCAGTAATGTAATAGCCACCTTTCACTTACTCATCCATGCAGGAAATACTTAGTATGCACGTCTTTCCTGGCATCCATGCTCTCCCTCACTCACTGCTGTCAAGTCAGAACCAACTCAGAGCTGACCCTGCAGCAGGTTGCAGAGTCTGAAAACTGCACAGAAGGAGATTGCCCACCAAGGGAGCCACTGTGGAATTCAAACTGCCCAAGAGGTGCTGCCATTGGGTTAGCAGTGCACCTTCCCACCTACTGTGCCACCAGAGCCCCTTACCAGTTCTCAAGATCATCAAACCCCCCATTGCCAGCCATGACTCCTGTTTATGTTCTACTGGGCCCCCAAAGCTCTAAGTCTTGATGAGAGGAGCCTGCCCATCTTTTTCCCCTCAGAGGATTTGAGCTGCCAACCTTTTGATTAGCACATCTTCACTAACCCACCAGCTGCCTAAGCAGATCATAGTCAAGTAGAAATAATTTTCAGCCATGAAAATGCCCTTCCAGCTAAATTAGTGATTTTGACCTTTACATTTTCAGGTTATCTCCCCTAGGCTGGGGTTTCACGAGGCTTAGGGAGAACCACACTGCATAATATTTTAAAAGGGCTCTAGCAGAACTTTGGCTCCTACCCCATTAAATTCAGAAGAAGCCACTGAACTAGGGATTGCTTATGTCAGATGGATTTTGGCTGAAAGTAGAGAATACCAGAGAAATGTGTACTTAAGTTTCATTGACTATACAAATGCATTTGTCTGTGTGGATCATATAACTTATGGATAATACTGAGAGAAAAAAAGAGAATTCTACAACATTACTTGTGCTCATGCAGAACCTGTACTTGGACCAAGAAGCAGCCATTAAAATAAAACAAGGGATACTGCTTAACCACTGCCAGTGTAAAGAGTCAGGTTAACTGGATTTTTTTTTCTCTATAATTATATTT